GCAGGCTTTATTTACTGCTCACCATTCATATCTGCACTAAGTTGTGTTTTGTACATCTTCATTCCTGGAACTGCTGGCATTTTCAAGGAGAGAAGCCAATAACTCATGCTGGATGCTTAGTGACCTACTAATGGAAGGCAGAGCTCTTATCTCCAGCCTACAGCAGTGATGATGCTTTTTTTTTTCACTGGTGATGATGGCTGGATGCTGCTCCTCAACACCAGTTTCTGAGATCCAGTCAAAATCAATAAAATAACATGGTCCCCTGAAGAAAGGCTTAATAGGGGCTGGCAGTTGGGTCTGAACTGTCCTTCCACAAAACCATGTCTGAATGGGTAGGTGCCTGCATAGATGTGTTTAACAGACTGTTCTGATCCTCTAGATAACGACAGAGGACTGAAATTGTTCATTTGCTTCTTTTTAGGAGCATCCCATTTGTCCACAATTCCTAGGCCAGCCACTAGTCTAGAAGTGATCTTTGAACCTGCTAGGAACTGGAGAAGGATTTTATTAAGAAAAAAATAAAATTAGATTTCTTTAGAATGTAAATGAACTGAATCCACATACAGCTTTCAAAGAAAAAGCAGGATAATTACATTGCTACAAGGCCGTAGTTGAATTACTGGTGTAAAGGAGTACCCATACATGTAACTTTTTCAAAGGTAATGTTATTATCAGACTGTTTGTGATACAGATGCTACTGCTTCCCAGGCTTACTGCCTTCTCCTTTTACGTAAATAGTCTGTGTTTCTGTTTTCACTGATTTAGTTACAGGAGGATTTCTAGTCACCTTGAAGATGCATCGCCTGTAAGAATAAATACAGGCCAGGAGAAAGGCAAAGGGAGGGAGAAAGAAGTTGTGCAGAGCAGAGTTGCACCCTGTCCATGTGATACAAAAGTCTTCTTTCCCCACAGATAAGTTTAATTTAGGCATTTAAAACTGATGTTGTTAAGTCTTTCCCAAATTTGAGTGTTGTTTGAGCACAGAGAAAGCATCACAACAACTCTGTCACTATCACCTCTCTGCTGTAGCATTTCCAGTCTTGGATGCAATGCTGTCAGGTGAACAAACATCAGTTACCTCTTCTGTAATATATTCACAGTAAGTGCTAATTATTTCTTCTTTTATTTATCAGAATGTTTATGATTATAGCTATGGGAAAGTATCTTGCTAAGAAAAAGAATAACATAGAGAAGCAAATGTTAGAGAAAAGGGGATAGAATCTCAGCTTTCCTCTATCTGCTAAGCTTTTATCCAAATGTTGCAATCTCCTGAGAGTCTCAAAACTATTGTATTTTACTTTGTGAATGACAAAATTCAAAATGATTATCAAAAAAAAGGAGCTATCATATCTATCCAGATAAAATGAAATGGAGAGATACTCTCAGTGGAGGTTTTAAACTTTTCCTAATACACTTTTTAATGTCCTGTGTATTTTGACCTTCTGGATCAATAAAAATTCTTCTATTCTCTATTTCATTTCTTCGGAAAAAAAAAAAAAGAGAAAAAAGCACTTAGATGAGATTTTCTCATGAGTTCAAATACAAATGAAGAAAAAAGAGAAAAAAGAAAAGAGATCTCAGGGAGGGCCCTTAGAGGCATGTTTCATATTAAGAACATGCTCTTTCTCAGTCAATACCTCTTCACCATCAGAAGGTGGAAAGTTGGGGGTTTTTTTCCCTCTGTTCACCCCACTGCTTCCCTTCTGTGCTGTTCCTTCCTCCTCTTTTCCACATCCCTTGCTCAGTGACATAGTCCTGTTCCTTCCCTTTTCTGCCTCTGGGTTTCATCTGGTTTTCATGGCTTGTTTCCATATCTGGAAATTATCTCCCAATGAGGAGATAAGCTATTATCAGGAGAATGATTTGCTTCCACATTGGGCAATACTGTATCATTTACTTCATCTGTTGCACAGTGCTTAGCACTTGCCTCTACACAGGCAAATCAATTTGTCATTTGAAAATTACTATTGCTTTATTTAATTTTGTTTCTCTTTGAATTCTGTCCTCTTTGAATTTTGTTCTCTTTGGAACAGGCTGCCCAGAGAAGTTGTGGAGTCTCCTTCTTTGGAGATCTTTAAAACCCGCTTGGATGCAGCCCTGTGCCACGTGCTCTAGGTGACCCTGCGTGAGCAGGGGAGTTGGACTAGATGACCTCTGAGGTCCCTTCCAACCTTAAGCATTCTATGATTCTATGAATGTCGCATTGCTCTGGGTACCCTGGGCACACACTTCAGTGCACCAATACTCACTGCAACAGGACTCGACTGCAACACCAAGACACCTAAATCAGGAACACAGGCTTCCTGTGCTAAAAATATGATCAACAGGGGGAAAACCAGGCACATTCAAAGAATGATTCAGCCCACATATTCTCTGACTTGTCTAGCAAATGTTTCTCTTCCCCATTTGTCATAGACCAGCTATGGATACGAGACCAGCTATATTGAAATGAGGTATCAGGTATTCACGAGGTAACTCATGAAATTGAGTTACCGATTTCAGCAGAGTGAATCTAGCATAAACCTGAGACAAGAGGAGATGCTTTTAAAGGCTGAACAAGCAGCATATGGTGGATGACAACCTAATTTTGGCAGAGCTATGCCTGGCCTATCACCGTATCCCTAAAGTGCTCTTGCTTCAGTTTCTAAATATCTTTTGGAATTAGCACATTGGTGTGAGAGAATACATTTCAAATGGTCTGTAAAGGAAGAGTTGAGGGTTGACTAATAATGAAAGAGGATGACTGGCATTTTCTCTTCTATTTTTTTTTTAAACTGAACAGATCAGAGGTTGAGCAAGCCTTCTTCGTGGGAAATTTACATCACTTAACCATTTTTCATTAATAACATGATTTCCAAAACTACTTCTCTGCAAAAGTTTTCTGTACTGAAGAACTGCTTTCTTGCATACACTATAGGACTCTTCTTAGGTTCTATTTTTTTTCTTTTTTCTTTGTCTTCATGATAATCACAGAGGAATACTATCACTTGTTCTCTTTCAAAATGCTCTAGATCTAGCTTAGCACCAGTTATGAGGAAGAATTACATTATCCATCACCTTGGTCTAGGAGATTATCATGAAGGAAAGTAATCTTTACAAGTACTGCCTGTCACGTGTGTCTGTGGAGCACTGATTCACACTGCTCACCTATATACTATCTAGACCCTTAAATTTTGCCAAGGATTTTGTTAGGAAAGGAAGAGAGTAGTATACACCTTGCAACAGTGTTTAGATTCATCAAGTTACAGATGATAGAGCAGATCAGAGATGTGAATCACACCGTCCAGAGGTTTGGGTGATGTGCCTATCTCAGCCGGTTCCCCTTGCACTGCAGATGAACTCTGAGTCATATATGGGTCAGATGTGTCCCCCACACAACCACACAATGTCATGATGCTTGGGCTTGCAGACAAGGTTACGCTTTAAAATGCAAATGCAAACCTTTCCTGAGACAGAAAGGCAGCTGCCAACAACTCAATTTATTTTCCCATGTGAACTTCATTTTTCATGCTGTGAACATTGATTTGTGTTTGTCTGGTTTTAAAGCTCACTGTGAAGACAAGCAGAACTGGAGATAGAATATATGGCATCTTCCATGCCAGCTAGACTGACAAGGACCCATCCAGGCATGCTAGTACAGAAATAGCTCCTTGTTAAGGAGGTGAACTCCCATAAACCACATACATCTTGTGAAAACCTCCAAGTCTAAATCAGGCCAAAAAAAGGGCCTGTCACTGCTGAATACCCTGAATATTTCCAAGGCAGGAAGAGACACGTGGAATAGGTACTGGCCAGAGAGAGAGCTGCCTACCAATCAGCATCTAATTAAGCCTAATGGAGGCCAACACAGTCTCTAATTACATCTACCTAATAGGCATGCACAGTCAAAATAAGCCACATGCCTCTCTCTTTCTTGAATGTGGGAAGGCAGGAAGCATAAAGGATTTTCTTCTCCTTTGTTGAGGGGCCTCTGTGAGCTGAGGGTGCCTGAGTTTCCCAAAGCCGGCAGCGAGGGGCCCACGGAGGAGGGTCGATGTGGGAGGCACCGGCACCACGGCTGGGTTTATCACAGCAGCGGTGTATTTGGATCAGAAGCTGCTGCTTTCCATGTCCAGCAGAAGTGATATAATTAGTTATCAAGCTAAGAGAAAGTTCCAAGCTGCCTGGCTCTCCCTGTCTATGTGTTTTTTGAGAAACTTCTACCCTGTCTTTGGTCAGTTAAACCACCTCTGCTGGTAGGTAGCTGGCTGGGTAGCTAGGCTGGGCTCTGCATTGTCTCCTTTCCAACTTCCAACAGCCACTTTCCAAGTAGTGACAGCGAGGCCAGTGCCTTATCTGTTTTACAGTAAAGATATTCCGTCCCTGAACTCTGCTCTTAGGATGTCCAGGTTTCCCCAGCCACTGTTGATGAGGGTGCAGTAACCAAGTAATGAGCAACAACATCCCCAGCAATTTCAGTTTGTGGAGAACACAATGCTCAGTTGTTATGGCTCTAAACCCTTCTGCCCAGCCCAAAAGTATTCAAGGAAATAAAGTGATGGCCAGTAAAAGCATCTGGCACTTTTCTGTTCGCAGCAAAGCCACACAGAAAAAACCCTGAGCAAGTCCTGTTTTCCCAACCAAGCAACCATGGCATGTGCCTGGGAAGTGAAAGGGTTGGGGTCCAGTCTCCAGTGGCTTTCAAAGAGCTCTGACAAAAAGCAGAGCTGCTTACCCAGGAGACTTACCCAGGGATCACCCTATAGCTCAGGCATTAGTTCAGTTCCCTTCTCAAAGGCAGGCAGAAACAATCTGAATTCAGGTTTCATTCCTTTTATAACCTAATGCTATAATGACAACTAACATATATAAGGTACACTGCAACCACCTCTCCCATTTTGTGACCCAAAGCCTTTGTTTTTCATTAGACCTGCTAAGAAATAAAACAAGACAAGGTTATAATTTCTTATCATATTTTGTTTTGACAAAAACTTTTGCATGCCATTTAGTCTTCTCACCTCAGGGATGTTACTGTGGAACTTGAAAAGCAGAAGTAGAGGCAGTGAGAAGCACAGTCGAGGTCAGGGTGCTGCTTCTGTATAAGAAAAGACTGAGTAGACGAGGAGTCTTCAGCTTGGAAGGCAAATGAGGGAGCCTACAAACAATGAATGGTATTGAAGAAGTGACAAGGTAATGATTATTCTCTGTTCCTCACTACACAAAAACTACAGGCACCCACTGAAATTATCAAATGTCAAACTAAAAGCAGAGAGCAGGTATTTTTTTGCATAGTGCATAATTATATTGCCACAGGCTGCTGTAGAGGTCAAAAGTGTAGATAAACTCAAAAAAGACACTAGACATATTCAAGGAGGGGTAGTCCACTGTGGGAAATTAAAATAATACACAATCTGGTTGGAACCTACAACTCAAGAAATCATCACTGTGCTATTTTTTCTGTGCCATTTACTATAACTTTATATTGTCCCCAATATGTCTGCATTTGAGAGCTCGGACTCATGGCATGGTGGGGCAGATGACTCTGACACATCGAGGAGCAAATTAAAATGCTTGTTTAACCAGGGGCAAACACCTCCATTCTTTACCAAAATATCCTATTTTTGGATGAAATTTGGTCAATTGACTGGTGTTATAGAATACTTTACAATTAGTTTTCTGATTGAAGAAATCCTTTACAATTAGTTTTCTGATTACTTTTGGGCTTCAATCAGAAAACTAATGTTTAAAATCACCCAAGGGAACATCTCAAGCTTGTTTGGCATTTCTACGAATACAGAAATCATAAACCCAGGCAGGTAACGCGGTGACCTGTTTTTGTTCTCGTAGGAATTCTTTTATTTTTCCTTCTTTTTTATTTTTTTTTCTTTTCATGAAGGATCTTTTGCTACTAAGTGCCCAAAATCTTCATTATATCCCCTTGGGACATAATACCCTCTCAGCTTACTGCTTGAATCTGTTGCTGGGTTTTAATTCCTTCTTGTAACAACCCCTGCTCCTGCGAGTACTCAGCAATGTGGAAGCGTTATGGAGACTTCTACAAAAGGGAGCTCTTATGCAGTGACCTATGCCAAAAGAAATCCTTCCGTGTTATAAGAAAGTTGACATCTGACAGCTGAAGTTATGGGGAAATAAAGTACATTTCAGCTAACTTCAGAGTTTCATCCACAGTTCTCCTTACCTAATAAACTATGAGAGGTTTTCTGCACTGCCTAGACCAACTCCAGGCTGCCTCCTATCGCAAAAGCACCGAACTTTCCTTCCAAAGCAAAGACTTACCACGAGGGAGCCTTCTGCCTTTTATTTTTTCCCTGAGGAACATGAAAAACTGACCCACTCAGCATATCTCAATCAGGCACCTAAAGTGGAGGCAAAAAAGCAAGTTAGACACTTCAAAAGAATTAGACTAGATGGATTTTAAAGAAAACACTTTCTGATGGCTGAAAAAAATCTTATACTGGGGTTGTGTGTCTCATTAGGTGCCTGAGGAATGTGGCAAAGCTCAGCTTTTCCGTAAGTTCTTCCTTTTTATTTTCTTGCTTTTCCCTAACAATTCCACATGATGTCTTTCAGTGGCATAATCCTAAAATGGTCTGAGCCAGAGCAGTAGGCAAAAAAAATCAAGTGGGAAGTTTGTGCTCTCTGCAAGGGAAGTGCAGCAGGAGTCCTCCAGGAAGGGAGGACTGCAGGCAAATTTGCTTGGCTTAAGCTTGGTGATACATATGAGGAGCAAGGTGGTAACATTGCTGAGGCTAGTTGCCAAAAGTAAAGCAAAATAAGATCCTGTGAACACACGTACTGCAGGGATTAGTGGTTTCCCACCTCACAGAACCAAGCAAATCAGTGAGTTTTTTTATGGCAGGAAGCTCTTCTCTGGCTTGTCCCTCAAATACGTTATTTGTTTCATGAATGTGACGAGATCTCTGTGTTGGATGAATTCAGAAGAGAGTATGAGTTTGTTTATGTTCCAGTCCACATCAGTTCTGGGTTTGAAATCAGAAAATAAGGTCAAGATAGTGTTACATTTCACATCTGGAGCTGTACTTCAGTCTCAAGGCAATTATTTTTATCCCAAACCCAGTAGCTCTAAATAAATCAAATTACTTAAAATGTTTTTCTTTTGCCTTTAAAGAAAAAAAAGCTCAGTATTTCAGCAGAATCATAACCAGCAGAAGCAGATCTTTGCTTCCATTCTACTCAGTTTTCCCGAATTATAAGAAATACTTTTCAGTTAAGCCTCTGTCTACTTCACTCCCACACAAGCTCAATTTTATCTCAGATTTCTGACACTAAACCACTTTTATCAGCAAGTCCATGAAGCCTTAACTAAGTATACTAAGCCCTAACTAAGGCACACTAAAAAAAATCAAAATTACTAAAATTTGGAAGATGTATGTACCATTTTTTCCCTGTTTTTCTTTTTGACTTTGATCACAAAAGCAACCTGGTACTTATTTTCCTATGTTCCTACATTCATTATGATTGCTTTGGGGTTCATTTTCTTGACTAGAGCGTGGTCTGTGAAAGTACTACACTAACTAAAATAAATTCAGCATATTTTCCAAACTGGCTAAAATTCCTTTCCAGAAGAGACAGCAAAAATGCTGCAAGTTGATAAATGTTACCAATGGGCATCCTCATAATCCAGTTGTTCAAATCTGAGAATTGTTTCTCCCAACAAACTGAAAAACAGGTGTAACTATAGGCTGTGCTACCTGAGTGAAAAAATTCCAAATTAGTTAATTTGCTACATTAACAACAAGCATTCACTGTCTTACTTTCGAAGGAGAAGCACCAGCAAAGCGGGCATAAATACATGAGAAAGTGAGTTTGCTCAAAAGAAGATTAAGATGGAAAAAAAATCTCTGCGCTGCTTTTCTACTGCTAATGACAACAGATTTATTTTTATTAGGGGAAGTGGGCATTTAAAGATGAAGACAGGCTTGTGGGGAGATATTCAAACACACACAAATGTTTTGCAGTTGTCCATTTCTGAAAACTGCACCGGATTTGTCTGTATCTGTCAGAATCCTAAGTACTTGTTAAAAAAAAAAATATATAGGCCCTTTAGCCAAGTCTGAAGTGGTGGCCAAGAGCATTCTTGCCCTGTTGGCCTTGCCTTGATCCCCAGGAGCCGCTGACGCTCCCATGAGGAGTGACCACCAGAAGGGAGAGGCGAAGCGAAGGCGCCGCTGGGCAGAGATGAGGATTTACGCTGGCTCTGAGGGCCATCTAGCGGCATCGAGTCCTCATTCCGAAGCATTGGGGAAAAGGCTGGAAAAGACATTTTGCTCTGAGAAATGTGAATTCCTCAGTGACTGCGCGGTGCCTGCAGGAAGGCAGCTGGCAGCAGACTCCGTGGAGAGCCCGCTTGATGCCGTGTCCTGGGGGCCACCCGGTGCTGGTCCTTCAGGATGGCTTCGAGCGAGCAGACCAGTGTGGGCCTGTGGGGCTGGGGGCCCCACGGCCTGGCTGCCTTTGGAGCCTTGCCTGGGGGCAGCCGTGGGTCCAGGCAGGCCTCGGCAGCCTCATATCCCGCCTCCAGAACAGCCTGGGGCTGCCATCAGGATTCGGGGCAGACATGTCCCCCTGGCCCTGCACACACACTGCAGTACTGGACGTGGTCTTGAGGCGCCGTGCGGTACCGCTGCAGTTCCTGCTCCTTGGAAAGGAGGAAATGGGAATGTGCTCCAGAATTTCCCTCATCACAGACTTCTCCAGGGCATGGGCACCCACATGATGAGGGAAAGACACCTTCAACAGCAGGCTCATCCACCAGCCATGCACTCATTCTTCGTCAAAGAAGAAAACTCAAGATTTCCTGGTGCTCCCCTCTGGGCAGAGTAGCCCAGGCCAGTTTGGCACCATCTGACCCCCAGCTCAGATGACTGGATAGAAACAAGATTTATTTTTAAAAGCACTTTAAAGGTCAGGTTTTCCAATTCCCACAATTTCTCTAATTAGCTGGAGACTCTCCAGGCAGGCTGCTCTGACCTTTTGTGTTCCCTGCTTCTCCAGCACATATAGAGAAAGTGCTGAAAATATACCTACACATACATCAGAATGTTAATCAGTCATTTGGGAAAGGCCATAACTCCCAGGAACCCTATCCAGATGCCACTAGGAAAATAATCCAGTGCTGTTTAACGAGGATTAACGGTTCTCCTTTCGTGTGTTCTGCAACCTCTCTTTTAGTAGTTGTCCTTCTGGCTCCCCCTTGCAGCTCTGCTGCAGTCTGGGCCCAAATGCTGCTAACAGAGAAGTGCTGGTCCTACAGTTATTGAAAATATCAATTTGTGTAGTCCTGAAAATATTAATTCATGCAGTTTTGCATTGTGCAGAGAGAAAAAAAAAAAAAAAAGAAGTAGAAACAAAAAGAAGAGGTAGAAGAAAAAAAGAGAGATGAACCTGGAGACTTCTGCTGCAATTATTTCATGAAACTATATGCCTCAGTGTCAACTATATTGTCAGTAATCTCCAGTCTGATCAGGGTCGCTCAGCTGAGACTGTGAGGCCACATATTATCTCTTCTTGTAATCTGACCTATTAATTCAATAAAACATTGTTTTAGTGGGCAATAAATATCACAACAAAGGTCTTTGCTTCATAGTGCAGTGAAATATTTCTATTCTCTTTTGCCTTCACCTAAATGATATGGCTACTGTGCATAAAGTGCTGATTAATTCCCCATTTTCACTCACGGTCACGGTTTTGATAAGCCTTTTCAAAAATAATTGCAACAAGTCATTGTTGTGACCTATTTTTAGACAGACAAGGCCTGGAAGCTATTTTACAAATATTAAGAGCTATAGTCTGAATAACAGATCTGAGTAGTTGTGTGCATTTTGCTAAAATGTCTGATGCAGCTCTATGTGTCTGGGGAACAATCAGTTTGTATAAGCCTAGCATGGAGAAGGAGTGAAAAATGAAGATGCACATGCATGTCTTGGCAATCCTGCCTTATACAGCAAACCCTGTGTCTTTTGTCCATCTGATTTTTAAGGTAAGAGCCTCTTTCTTGGCAAAATCATTTCTTCTTCAACTTA